GGCATTCACTACTCTTTTCATGTTACACCAAGACCACCAGAATCAAAATATATGATCAACAGTTCTGTTTCTCCACATGCAGCCTCAGAGCCACATAGAGAGGCAGGTTACGTAAAGTGTTTAACACATAAAGTTTGGGCTTTTTAACAGTTCTACTTGGACAACTGGCGTTCTGTCACTGCTACTCTATGAGAGGCAGGAGAGTCCTTGTCATACTTCAACTATTGAAAATTTTGTTTTTATGAATGCTTTTCTATTAATTTCTAATTCACATTTATCATGAATTGAGTGGAAGAACTGTATTTTTAAAATTCATATTGATTGAGAAAAATTTCTGTATCAAGTAAAACTAGGAAGCAAAAACTAAGAAACCTTCACAAGAGTAATAATAAAATATTATGTTGAAATTATCCAACAATAAACTGCTGGGTTTAATAGATATAGAAATTTCAAAATATATGAATGGTCCTACCAATTCCTTGATGGGTTGAATATGAGCTGTCACACACTTTAATCTGTTAGTGGCTAACCTATAGCATGTCCTATATTGTTTGTTTTTAAGACAAAAGATGTTGGAGCTGGGGAGATAGCTTGGTGGTCTAAGCACCTGCCTGGCAAGCACAAGGACCTGGGTTTGATCCCTGGTGTTGGTCCTCTGAAACCAGATGTGGTGACACACACCTGTAATCCCAGCGCTGGGAAGGCTGAAACAGGCAGGTCACTATGAGTCAGACCTGCATAGCAAGACCGTGTACCAAATAAATAAATAAAAGATTAAAAAGAACAAGATTTGTTTAAAAACAAAAGATGGTGAATGAGTTCTTTTTTCTAAACTAACATGTTAGCATTCAGGCTTAATTCCAGTGCTGGCTTATTACAAAGTGTGTTTGGGGCTGCTACTCTGGCACTCGTCCTTAAAAGTTCCATCGTCACTGCTGTGATCTACTAGAGATATCCGGGAATGGACAGTCCATAGCTGTGATGGCCAACACGATCCACTCTTGTCAGGGATTGTCTTCATTTCCCCAATCTACAATGCAGACAATAGCAAAAGACTAGTTTTTTACATTATGCTCATGTAATAATCTAAATGATGGGGCCGGGGAGATGGCTCAGTGGAATAAGTGCTTCCCTGGCAAGCACAAAGGCCTGAGTTCAATTCCTGGTTCTGCCAAAAAAAAAAAAAAAAAGAAAAAGAAAAAAAAGAAAAAAATCTAAATGATGTTTACTAGGGAACAACAATGTAAAAATGCATATATATATTATATATATTTATATTGGCTAAAGACCAATTCTAATTCAAATGGTTTATTAACAAATGAATGTATTAGTTCTTACTGGTAATTCAAATTGAAGCTTACTGTACCTGGTCAAGTGATGAATTTCACATGCATTTATGTTTTCTTTTTGCTCTCAAGAATGACAGTAGCTAAATTGTAGGCTTCTTAAAGGCAGAAACAGCTTGTATTTAATAGTTTATTTAATACTTTAATACTTTATTGGTAAAAAACTCAGCATGAAGAGCAGAACTGATATTAAAGTAGCTACTCAATAAATACTTGGTTTCCTGATTTGCTTTTGTGTCTTCTTTATGTTGACAATTAAATTATTAGATTAAAAGCAGAGAGAGGATATTAGTAAATCCTCCAGTTTGTTTTCTTTTAGCCATAAGATGTCCCTGTGCCAAAAGCCTGTATTAGACAAGGTTCTTAATATGAGCATCAGAGACTCTTTTGCTAACTCCCTGAAATTTTGCTCAAATTCTTTTCGTAGATTCTTATGTTCATTGTCCTAGACAAAGGCTCCATTGACTTCTCTACCTTCCAGGAAAACCATAACTCCATAAAACAACATACCATCTGCACCCCAAATGTCAATACTGATATCTGAGGAAATAAACACTTGTCTACCGAGAACAATCTACAACTTTTTTTCTCTGATCTTTGCCTTCTTAAAGAAGTCTGAGACCTGGTTGAAATTAAGTTAGTATCAGGCATATCTGAAATAAGGAAGTGTATTAGAACACGTGTGCAGACAGGATGGCTTGGGGCTGCTCCTTGTTCCTCCGCTGCATGAGGTACCAGGCTGGCACTTTAAGTCCAGGAGCAGGTCAAGGTGTTTCTTATCATTTAAAGCTCTATTGGAATAAGTGACCTGGGACTTAATTATGGGCGATATTACCTGTATCCTTATGCACACTCACAACCACTAAGCTCTACAGCAGCCCTTTAGCTAACGGTTCCTGCCTCTCACCAGAATTTGGGGCAATCTGCTACCAGCATGCAGAGTTTACTTTGGAATTTATGGGACATCTCACAACCTATATTTACTAGTCTTCAGAGGTGACCAAGCTTTTCTTGCCTTAATTTCCACTAACAGAATACATTAGTTAAATACAATCAAATTAGCTTAAAGTGTTTCTCCAAACACTCCTTCCCTCCACAGTCCTGTGTTAAGGAAGTTAATATTTGACTAGCTTGTTGCACTGCTGCAAATTTTTAAAGACAGTTATGCTAAGGAACATGCCCTTTTTAGGAAGAAAAATAAGGACCTTTAGAAATACGCTATTGATTCTAAGTCCAACTGATGATTACATATAAAAGTGAGTCTCTCTGCTGTACATTTTATCATCTATTATTTAAGTAGCATGAAGATCTATAGCTAGATAATGTTGTATTTCTACTTCTTCCACTTAAGCTTTTATCTTTAAGTGGATTAAAATACACATCTTATGCTGTTTTTACTTTGCCATTGTTTATCTTTCATGTTTCTATAATTTGTCTTTTAAATTGGCATATTAACATTGTCATATGCTTATAATCTTATTTATAATATTTATTTTAATCTTATTTATAATGATTGTCATATTTTTTCATAAAGACAAGACTGCTCCCTTTGGTGGTCAACAAAGAAGTTACAACTTGGCTAACAATTTTCTGTTCCCGCAGATAAGACAGGCACTTGGGAAGCTGTTGAAACCAAATCTTCCTAAGGAAAATAAAACTTTAAAATCATTTTTTGAAAATTCAACTCATACCCATTTAATAGGTTGTACCAATTTTCTGCCGCTTTTACGAGTTTTATAGTTTCCTTTCAAGTAAAAAAAAAAAATCTATGCTTTCAACATAACAAAAAAAGCGTAAAATTCCACTATCACAACAAATGTCTTCTAAGAAGATTTTAAATTGAGTGACAGCACAGAAGTTCTTTAAACTTCTAGAGAACACGAAATGGATTTACTCACCAGCACCCAAATAAATCCATATTAATTTTCACTTTATTTCGGTTGTATTTCACAGCTGTGATATCATGAGTGGTAAGAGAAGGAGTTCACAGAAGAGTCGGAGTTCAAAGGAGTTGAAATTGAGCATGGAATGTGAAATTGAGGACTTTTGCCTCTAAGAAGATGGTTGCAGAAACAGCAACCTTGTAAGGCTTGAGCTCGATGCCACAGCAGAATTCACAGCAGGGTGACCCTGCCTATACTGGACAGTGCTTATGAAGTACTGCTCTTTATTAAGAAGAAAACTCGTATTTGACAAGCTATAAGAAACGTGTATTTCTCTAAAAACTGTTTTCTTTTTCCCTGCTCTAGAATTACAAATTTTTAATAAATAGCTGTTTTCAGTTTTACAGAGATTAGATTCTAGCAGGACCAAAATAAAGCAGACTTTCGCCTTCTGACCCCCAGCATCTCTCAACACTGCCCCCCCCCCATGTTCTCTGCCTGCACCCTTCCGTAAGTTCCACAACGAATCAGTACTCTATTTTCTTTCTTTGCAATGGGGATCCGACTGCCAGAGGGGAAAAGAACCAACCACACAGGGAAATGGCAGAAGTTAACATCGAGCTAGCCTAGTGGGATGGTAACGATTTTCCCAGGATCCTAGTCTTTGCCTTCGGGATATGTGAAGCTAGAAAACAATGTCATTCATTCAACATTAATAGAGAACACACAAAGTTCGCGGTGATGTGCTAAGTGCTAGAGGGAATGCAAAAATATGCAGAGCACAATCCCTGTCTGAGGATTCCTGCCGGGAGGGGCATTTCGAGTACGACCCAGACCTTAGGACCCTCCACGAAATTCTTGCATGAATACATTCACTCCCAAATTGAAATACTCAAGGGAAAGTACATCAGTAGGGCGATGCGTCTTTTAGAGAGCAAGACATGTAAATGTGCCTTAAAATTTATTTCTAAGGTGTTACAATGTGATCTGAATGAAGGAGAGAGCAGGGACTTCTCGCACTAATATGACTCGAATGAGGCACTGCACCATTTAGCGGAATTGTAACAAAGAGGAGGCCGGCACTTTTTTGGTGAGAAGTGGATAACTTGGAGAAAAAGCAGCCTCCGAGGAGGGCGGGGAGGCAATATTTCACCTAGTGATCACAACCGCGGCCCAGCCACCCGCGGCACCCCAGCCCATACCCTTTACTCAGGCCAGACTGTAGGTTGCACTTGGCCAGATTCTGTTCGCAGCCCTCGCATACGCCGCCTCCAGCCTGGAATCGGCCAAGGGCGCCTGGGTTCCCGGCTCAGACCCTCAGCTAGACCAGCGCCTGCAAGGTCGCCATGGCAACTGTGGGGTTTCCCCCATCTCTGGCCCTCTGAGCCCAGCGCAGAAGTCCGCACCGACGGCGTACCCAGTGAGTGGCCTCAGCTCCTTCTGGAGGCGAGAGCGCCAACGAGAGCCGCAGGCGCCCCTTGTGTCGCATCGGTGGCTGCGAGCTGGGCTCGGCTCATCGAGGTTCGGACCCGGAGCAAAGGCAGCGCCACCCGGCGAGCTACTAACTCCTCGAGGCGAGACGGGCGTTCGAGCCTCTTTTCCCGGTTTTACGGGTTTCCGGCAGGGGGGAATTTTGCCTCGGTCCCTAAAAGCATCCCTCAGCCTCTCGCCCCCTCCCATCGCGACTCCCCCACCCCGCGGGCGCGCGCGCACACACGCTTACTCTCGCCGGCGCGTGCGCACGCTCGCGCGCCAGCCGCGGAGTCTCCGGCGCTCCCGAGCAGATCCGCTCTCCCGGGCGCCGCTACTCACACAGGCTTCCAGCCGCCACGGGGCGTCCTCTGTCTGCGGCGGCGGCGGCGGCGGCGGCGGCACGGCGGCTGCAGCCCGGCCCCTCTCTGGCAGCTTCGAGCCCGGGACAAAGTCGGGGAGAAGCGGAGGAGGAGGACGCCTAGGCTAGGAGGAGCTGCGCCGCGCCCGGCGTCCGACTCCGCGCGGCGGGCGCCTCCGCTCCCCGCGCCGCGGCCCCAGGTAAGCGGGTCCGCGGCCCGCAGCATCCTGGGGGCGTCCGGGCTCCGGGCCGCGGTTCCTCGGTGCGACCCCGCCGCGGGCCCGGGACCAGGGCTGCGAGGGGAGTGGGCGAGGGGGAGGGGAGGGGAGCTGGAGGTGAGGCTGGCCGGGAGCCGTGCGAGGGCGCGGGGCTTCGCTGGAGTCCACGCGCCCTTCCCCGCCGAACCCCGCTCGAGCTCCATCACTTTTACGAGCCGGGGCTGCCGGCGCCCCAGACAGCGGTCCCCCGGTCGCCAGCCAGTGTGGGCTTGGGCTTGGCGCCGCCAGCCTCCTCCCCTACACCTTGGACAGCGCGCCCCGGCGCTCGCCGCCCCCGGCACCGCCCGGGACCCCGTCCGGCTGGCGCTCCCTCTCGCCGCCCTCTACCCTCAGAGTGTCACCCTTCCTCCCAGCCTCCCGTCTCCTCCTGCCTTGGAGGACTCCGCTCTGGTGCGGGCCGGAAACTTTCGCCCTGCCCGTGCCGCTCTAGGTACTATTGTTATTTGTGGCGGCCCCCTCGCACGGGGAACTCGACACCCCGGACTGGGCTTCTCGGCGGGAGCGCACGCTGCCCGGCCCAGCCCGAGGCAAAGGAGGCACTAGGTAGGCAGTTGGACCCGGCGCCGTCGGCGGAGAGAGCCCGCGCCCCGGCAGCTGGATGCCCGCGGGTTACCCGCCTCTCTGGACACGTGCGCGCCTCCCACGGACGCGGCCCCTCCCTGAGCACCCCACGTCCTCCCCTTGCACGGCCATGGCCACCCCATAGGTTGGACCGGGGATCGCGGGCCGTGATTGGCTGAAGGTGTAACCGCGCCTCCTTCTGGAGGTGGGTGGTTCTGGAGTGTTGTGGTTCTCATCCCGCGGCGCGCACATTGGGGAAATGGGGTCGACAGGTGGGCGAGACTCGGGTCTGTAGGATCCCCGCGTTCCAGTGTGTGTCGCAGCTTGAACACCCTTCTGCCCTTAAATGTACTTTGTTCTTCTCTTTGCTCTCTCATCCTCAGTCGTTGAGCTGTTATACCGTTTGTAAAAACCAGTTTGTAGCCCTGTCTTTTACATTAAAATTATATTCTTCGATGGTAGTACCTTTTAAAAGCAAAAGTACGTGAGTAAGAGAAACAAATGCACAGAGAAAGGTTCACTGAAAACCAGGCTACAGATTGGGGCGGGTCTGGTAGTTTGAAGAAAGTAATTGAAGGTGCTCAAGGGATCTGAAGAGGGTGAAGGGGGAAAGGAAAGTAATTCCTACAAGAGATGCACAAGTGAGCGACCCAGAGAAACTGAGGAAAAAAAGATATGGTTCATTTAGAGGGCGAGAAGTGAAGGGGAAATATAAGGCTGTGTCTGGAAAGTGGTCATTTTGACTAGTACTTTGTTCGCTTAGCATAGTCTGCTTTTGTTTTGCTGACGCTGAACTTTTGAAAGCAACTTTATAGTAATAACATCTATCTATGTAATGTATATTGATTATTCCACTTTCTTGTACTATACAGATTTTCAAATGGTAATGAATTTCACAAAGTGAAAGGCCTCTCCAGAGGATTGCATTAAATAGTTAAGTTAAAGTGCTTTTGAAATATTGTGAGAGAAGACAGATGAGGATTTGGTAAAATCTCAAGATTGTTCTGGCACTATTTAGGGCCTTTGCAGCAAAGCATTTTATTGATAGCGATTTCTGTTCATTTCAAACAGTGATTGCCTCTAGCATTTTCAGGTATTAGTTTTTTTCAGGTATTTTGATGTTGGTCTGTACATCTAAAAATATTATAGTTCTTTAGAAGCCTTGTCAACACAAAACAAACAACATCCCATACAAGTTAATGTTGACAACTTACATTGAGTACACTGTATTTTTTTTTATTTGTAAGCTAGTTAAATATGCAAGAGTAACAGCATGATTGTTGTCCCTCAGGGATTCATACTAAAGTGGAGAATCACATGAGACTATTCCAGGGAGAACAATTCAATTATTTCTAAGAAGAATAAAATTTAAGATTCTTAGATGAAAATAGCAGCACTATTTGAATTACCATTGTATGGATTAGTAGCATATGATGTTAAGTAAAATAACATATTTAGTGTTAGATGATTCCAAAGTAGATATGAAAGACTTTCCATTTATTATTATGGGTTGGTTTTCTGACTGGAGGACTTCATGTTCAAATGGGATTTTATACATCTGAAAAATTGAACATTAATGCTATTGTTGAGAAAATAATTCTTACCATGTTTTCATTTCCCTAGTTCATACTTTGATTTGCTGTCAGGGATTTAGATTCCAGTTGTGGGCCTACCAAATTTAGATGAGTTTGTAAAGATAGAAGAGGAATATGCATATGCATAAAAATGAATTTATATGAACAGTTATATGTGCTCATAATTTTAGGGTACACTCATTGTATTAATATATATGTTATTGTCATCCTTGGAATATTTGTTCATTCCTTCTTGTCCAAAAGGTGGCCCTGTTTTAAACTGTAAAAAGCATTATCACCAGTAGAATTGGCCAATAGATCATGGAAACAGACAATAGTGTTTTGTTGCCTGGCAACCACCTACTGTGAATGAAAAAAACAAAGCAGTGACAGCTGCTTCCACATCCTGATACTCATACTGTAGCTCAGACATTGCAGCCCTCCATATGAGACAGATCCAAGTTTATTTCACTAAGGTGAAGCTATTTTTGAATGTTTATATATGTGTGTATATATATATATATATATATATATATATGAATTATATTGTTATTGTGGGATTAAATGAAGCATCTAATTGCAGTTGCCCTCCTCAGCCTATTTATTATAAAATGAAAACATGCAAAATTGGGAGGATTGTTTAGGTGCTTCTCATTCTTCCCTGTATAGTCATTAAACATCGTAAGCACATTTGCTGCTGTCATCAGATGCTCTTAATGCATTACAAAACTTGAGTTGTCTGTGATATTTAAATAGATGGCATGCTTTTACTGCTAAAAGGAAAGTAGAGGCTGATGCTTTTGCAGAACCCTTTAATTTTAAGGCACACTGAGGCCTAGTGAGATGATGTGACTTAATTCTGGTGATAGAACCTGTTTCAGTATGTCTCCCCCTTGGGAACACTTGGTCATTTCCCGCCGAATCATTCTTTCTTTCTTCTTTTTCTTTTCCTTTTTACATGAAATATGTTACTACGATAACAATAGGGATACTTAGTGACACACTAGGCTGGATTGTGCTTTTAGCTACACTGTATACAATATATTCTGCTTTCATTCTCTAAAAGCTACATTACTCCCACCTCTTTCCCCAAACTACACAGTCCCTTGGTTTGGCAGTTGCTTTGAGCTTTGGACTTGTGAATAATCTCTTTCTGTATGTGACTTTTTAATAGGGGTGACACTGAAGTTTGTGTTGTCCAGTTTGCCTGCCTGCAAGAGTTTAAATGATGCAGGTAATTAATGAATCACTAATTATAATCTTCTATTCTGCAACAAGACGTATGTTACTGCTAAAGCACTGACCTGTGCTCCTTAAAGTAGGTGAGATGGATTCTGTTACTGCATAATATTCATTTCAGGTTTTTAACAGCCATTATTCCAGAGGTGCCACCTGATTGCTATTAGTGGAAGTGAGTCATCTGTCTCTGAGAGAGGCAGTCGTGCAGTTGTTTCTTTTGAAATGGCAAGGAATGGACTATTGGGTAGCAAACTTAGATCACATTTGCATAATTTAGGCCTTTCTTCTAAACTTAGGAAATATATTGCATGTACAATATGACACATTTTGAGATTCCATATGTTATTTTAAAGAATCTATATTTCATTGCTTATTATTTATGATGAAAGTATGTAACTTGATACAACAAACTAAAGTAGAAATATATGTGGCCAATTGATTGTAGAAACAGAGCAGTAACATATTAAGCACCACTGAAGAGTCATTTTCACCAGAAATGATACACTTTAGCAAATTCATAGGGGTGTAAGTTGATTTTCAGCATGTTTAACCAAGTTTTAGAAGCCTGCTATTAACTTGCTCTAGCTAGGAGGATTTTCAAACAGAATAATTAATAGATTTCAAATGAACTTCACTGACTTCAAAAAAGCAAAGGCATGAACTATTTGCCACTGTCAGGGTGTTGTTTATGTAGGACAAGTACTTGTTTTGGAGTCTCTGAGAATAATCTACATTTTAAAATTATTTAAAATTTTTTTCTATATGTAATGTAATACTAAATATTGAATAGCTCATACATTGATCTTATTAACTGGAATCATGAAATTTAGTTGCCTTCCCTTTCTATGTTCCTATACATGATAATGTGTGTGTGTGTGTGTGTGTGTGTGTGTGCATGTGCGTGTATATACATGCATGTACACACACAATGCTTACACTTTTCTTGCCATTCTCATCCTTATGATGGAATGTTGCTAGACCTGATTTTTTTTTATAAAGAGAAACTTGAAACAAGAAATGATTATATTTTCAATTTCCTTATGTCAGCTTCTGCTGTTATAACCTCTAAACTCTCACCTACCCAAATAGGATGATTTCTAAAAATAAGTGGACTAGTAAGCATATAAGATCCCATTTGCTACTTCCAAACTGGCCAAGAAAGCATATTTTTCTCATTCTTAGACATTGACTTCTGTGCACACACAATAGACACAGAATCTAATGTCCTATGCACTCTTATTTTAAGAGTGGATAAAAATAGTATTAAATTGGGAGATCTGTGTGTGGTAGTATTTTAAAGACAATATATACAGATTTTTAGAAATGCAGTAACATAGAAAAATAAATTTATTTATTTTGAACAATTTTTACATTTATGCTGGTAGTATAACCAGCCCATCGAAGCTAGAACTGTGTCCAGTTCCTGCAGCAGAACATGACATAGATAACATATATTTTTGTAGAATTGTACTTTTCCTTTTTCTATATGGACAGATGTAAACATTTTAGTCTTAACCTATGTGAAAAGTAAAAGTTTAGAGATGGAGA